ATTAGAACCAATGTCGCTAAAGGCTTTAGGGACATATATAAAGTCACAACTTATTGAAAAAATCACAATTTTTTGGAAAAGTTAGAACTCTTTGAAAAAGTCACAACTCTTCGGAAAATAGTGGCAGTGGCGATTTAGAGATGGTGAGTGATGGAATTTGGTCTATGTTGTAATGAAGAAGAAAGAAACAAATAAAGAACAAAGAATAATTATAAATACAAACATTTCTGAAATGAAATATTAAAAATAAGAGTTTACTATTTGATTTTGGTGCTCACACTCTCAAGGAGAGTGAAATACACTCACTTTGCCACATAAGCGTTTAGGGAGATGATTATTTCAGTTTTAAATAGTTTGGGGGTGATAAGACTCCCGTAAAATTTAAGTGTGTAGTTAGGAATTCGATAATAGTAAGGGTTGGGGGGGGGGGGGGCATTTGACCATTTTTTCCTTTCACGGTGAAAGAAAAATAGATTAATCTTCTAATAATAAAAATAAACATTTGATATTTTCCATATATTTTAGATTTCTTAATGCTAGTCTTTTAATGAATGACAAAAAGTTTAATCAATATTTCTAAGGGATCGGAATTCTTGCTTTTAATATATAATAATAATAATAATAAAATAAAATAAAAACTATTTTGGCAAAATATCAAGTTGAACTAATTCCGCCCGGTTTGAATGAGTTAGACGGGGTTGGATGCCTTTGATTTTGCCACCAAATAGCAAATATCAAGTTTAAAGCCTTCTTGAACTCCCTCTTCTCTTGTTACTAGAAAGCAATGGCCCGTGCCAGCACGTACCTAATATTATTAAGTATTATTTCTTTTTTGTTGTTAAGTTTGTTTTTACGTGAAATTGGAGAAAAGAAATTTGATGGATCTAAGATGGTGTTCGTTATGTAAAATGTTAATTTTTTTTATATTTGATCAGTTAAAATCTTTGCAATATATATTTTTTTCCTTTTAAAATGAGGAAATGATTTCTATAATAGACGTATGAAAATAAATAAATTACACATGATATTCTACATTGATAATGCCTTCCTCCATTTTCAACCACACCTCATCTTTACCCCATAATATGAAGCTCCCCCCCCTCCATCTTCATCTCCACCACCACACACATCCCTACCCTCTACCTTCACCTCTTGTAGTATTTGTCTAAATTATATAAAAATGCTTTTAGGAAAATAATTTTTGCCAACCTATCAAAACAAGAAAATAAGTAAGAAACATATTTATTTTCCTAGAAATCATTTCTAAAATAATATTTTAATCTTAACAAACACATCCTAAGTAATTATTAATCATATACTCATAGTATTGCATACTAAAAATTGAATACGCTCTCGATCCATGAATAGATGTTGATTGTCAAATAATAAATTATTATACTCATGGAAAAATTATACCATTAGATAGTTAAAGCGACACTTTATACACATATAGAGTATTACTATTTATATATTAGCGAAAGATGATACATTTTTTTTCAATAGTCATCAAGGTTCTTATTTTTAGTTTTTTTACCAAAAATATATTACGGAATAATTTTATTAATTATATTTTAAAATTTATTATTAATATATCATTGTTAAAATAACAATTAGGATAAAAATAAAGAAAATGTGCATACTCTACTAATTAATTTAATTTTAGACTCTCAATTATCTAGGAGT